AATTATATACGTTTGCGATTTCTCTGAGAGTTTAGACTATTATTTATCTGGTCTTTTCTTTGTCGCGATATATAATGACGTAATCTTACACCCCGATGTATATCAGTCTTTGATACCGGTGCCGTTAATTAAATCATACAGCAGAGGGTCAAATGGCAAGTAGGTGATCGATGATCGCGTTCTCGGTACGTTTATACACGATGGTTATAGTTCAAAGCTGACCGGTATATGTAAGTATCACCTAGAAGCAAGTGATATTCAACTTTTTTTTTTTTTTTTTAAAGCCGCAACAACGGTATTGATTTGTCTGGGATATAAGACGGTTTATCGTGCGAACCTTCGGGTCAACTGACGATCAAACGGGGGTTTAGAGTTAAAAAATGCATGAATATACAAAATGCGCATCAAGACTGGAAGAGGAGTCTCGAGATCACTTAGGCGCGGTGTGTGCGAACGCGCGATCGTTTTTCTCATTACGCTGTTCTGGGTCAGTGGGACCGGCATTTTTGTGTGTGCTCTCGTTGCGCTAAGCCCCGATACGATTTTTCCGATTGCTTTTATTGCATTCTCGTTTATTGCAATTCGACTGTGGAAACTTCACGCATGAAGGCGCGCCGCGCTGCTACCCCGCGCGTGAGATCCTTTTCCGCCGCGCTGGGAAGCGATGATAGGTCGCCAACAACCGATTAGAACGGATAAGCTGATAAGCGAGCGAATTCGCTGCATAATCGGGGCCGGGGCTTGTTGTTTTATTCTCGTTGAATGAACTCGTTGCGAGATAATAAATCGCTAATCTCGGGCGCTCTAGAAGTCGCGCAAATGCGAAACTAGTTCGTCGCACTCGTTCAAAGCATTTTTTTCGTTCGTATAATATTTACGAGAATTTATTTTGATAAGAAAATTTGACACAACAAAATTAAGAACGCAAAGAATTACGTACGTAAAATCCGCGAGAGAACAGTTTTTCAGGGTTTTTCGACGAAGAGTCGCAATCGGTCATCTTTTTTTCAGCCAGTCAATTCTTTTTCGCGGCTAGCGAATTAAAATGCGACTCTTATATCGGAGTCCGCAGCACCGTTAACGCGCGTGTGTGTGGCTCGATCGTCTATACTAAATTTATTCCAAAACGCGCGCCTCCTCCTCAGGTCAGTGTGTCACGATTTGTGTCTAACAGCAGGTATACACGCAACATGTTGAACTCTCGGGAAGAAGATCGCTCGCAAGGGACCGTGTTCAGCAATCTGTACATGTGTCGATGATTTTTTAACTGTTGGTTTAACCGTTGTATCTAGACCCTCTCTATACATTTGTGCAAGAACGTGCGCCCGGCATTCGTTCCCGGGCTTGGTGAATCTTCAAAACTGCCGTAACACACGGCGTAACAATGCGAAATATGCCGGAAAAAGTGTACAACAACATTCGAGAAAGACCTTCGAGAACGTGACGCTTTGTGATGGGATTGGAAACGGTATATACGCCTTCGAACGGGAGCGGAATTGTAAAATAATCTATGAATGAACTTCGTCGCTGTGCGAACGGTGGTGAATACTAGACGACCAGTCCCGTGTGTCACACAGGCCTGAGGTTCTATCTATACCGGATCTCGCGTTAGAATAGACGCTTAACGGGACATAAAATATTATAGCGACCGATACTCCAGAAACGACGTGTGAATTTCTAAGTGTTTTTTTTTTCTCGACACTCTACGTGGTGGATACAAAGAAGTTAAACTGTCTAGTAAGTTTAAACGTAAACGGAGGTGTGCTGCGGTCTTACGCATGTATGAGATATTTTTTTATGCGAACAACTTAATAAAAATGTTATCAAACCAAATATCGGGAGATAAAAAAATTATCTGTAAAAATATTAAAAACAAACATAAAAAATATAGAAAACTGAAAAAATATGAAAAATATATAAATATATAAATATAAATATATATAAAACAAAAATAAAAAATAAATATATATTATTAGTTTAATAAAAAATAAAAAAATATGTAAAGTGTGTTTTCCTGTTGTTAAAAAACTATATAGTAAAACTATGAAAGCTAAAGAGTAATATCAACAAACATTTCAAAATACATAAAAAGAGAAGTAAGTAAATTTGGTATTTTGAAAAAATAAATTAAAAAAAAAAGAGCCAATATGAACTTTAGACACAGATGGTGATGTGTAACGAAAAAATTATATTTTATTTTTAACGTTTCGATTCAGGATCGGATAATTTTCAGAAAAAAGTATTTTTTATTTGTTATTCCTATTGAATAACCAGTGACCTAATTGTTACACAAATCGTTTACATTTTAATCGAGCAGTCTTAGTTAAACGTTTAGTACAAAGTTTGTAAAATTTTTTTTTACTTGCGACCCGGATTAACCGAAATTGACATGATCGGTTACCGGTGTCGAACGTGTATCTAGTCTAGTCACGATTCGTGAGTCCGTCGATAACCCACCTACATTAACACTGTTGATTTAGACGTGCCAGACGTGTCGTCGGCGAGGTTGAAAAGTCCGAGATAGCGCGACCGAAACGGTGATACCGCCGCCGCGCCACGGCGAAAAGGAGAGGAAGATATCGCATAACGGGGCTTCTTCAGTAGGTCGATACATGCAATAGGTGACACCGATTAGTATACCATCGTAAAAATGCACTTATGCTGTTCTCTAACACTATTCGTCGTCACTTTTCGAAGAATATAAATATCCGAGTTACATCAACGAGAAAAAAACGAGCGGCGGCAATCATCTGAGAGAACGAAAGATTTTGATGGTTTTTTTTACGAGCGATTACATCGCGACCACCTTACTCGAAATGTTGTTAAACCGTTCGCGAACAGCTTCTTCGGTACACGCGGCGTTTATATTTTTACCGGATTGATAAATTGCTCTCACATGGTTAATGACACGGTACTAAAACGGAAATTAAAACCCGATGCGCTTATACTTTTTTTCGGCGAGAGTTTACATGAAAAAAATCTGTGCTTCCCGATTTAATTTTTCTAAGAAACATTGTGCATCTCGGTTTATTTGGTTTTAAACACACAGAAATTGTATTCTACATGTGAATATTTTTTATTTATTCGTTCTGAAGAAGGCAACGAAAATTCATCCTCACGCCGGACTGTCGCGGAAGCGCGATAAAAGAGTGGCGTCTCATGTTCTCGCGGAAAGTTTCTCTCCACGGCTCGTTTTCACCGGGTAACATCGCGGTGCAGGTGTCCCGCACTTTTAAGGCACTATAACGCGCATTCCTGCGAGATAAAACGAGCGAGCGCGACCCGGCGCGATCGATTAGCTTCAACACCATTAGCGAGCGACACTACGTCCGCGCGCACAAGTGTCTTCGTCCGTTTGAACGACCGACGAAGAAAATGCGATGAAGAAGCAAATGTGTCAACGACATGGAAATCCAATCTTGTCTATTTCTTGATAAAAAAAAAAAAAAAGAACAACTTAAAAAAAAAAAGCGGTGAGAGTGAGATATAGCTCACTATTTTTAGATCCGCTGTGAGAGACAACCCGCATATGAAACGAAATTCGATGTTTACGAAGCTTATACGAAGTACGCGGTTACTAATTTAGTCCGGGTTGCCAGCTTGGAACTTTCGCGTCTTGATTTAATCCGATCAAGCGGACTCGCGGTCGTTAAGAATCTCGAATAGACGCGACCACCACAATAAAGAGCCGTCCTCAAGGTAGGCAGTCCCTGACTAAAGGAACTCTGCAATAAACTTCCTTCGTTTTCTTCGCCGACGTACAGCCCGGTAACGGCGCAGAAGGAAGGAAAAAATATAATCTGACGCTCTCGTGTGGTGTTTTATTTTTCCTCTTGAAAAACCAGTCGTCGCTCAGCGCGCACGTCGACGACGAGAGTGCGCATTCCGCAAGGCTGTCCCCGCGGAGCGAGCAAGGACGAACGATTTCCGCGCACAGTGACGACACCACGCACGAGTTTGTGCGAAACACGAATTTTGGATTCCTCGACAATATCAGAGAGAGAGAGAGAGAGAAAGAGAGAGAGAGAGGCGAAGTCACGCTACGCTTGTGCACGTGCGCGCGAGAGCGGCGAGTTGGCTGGCCGTGACTTTATTTTCTTATCGTTGTTGCTCACCGCCGCGTCCCCTTGCATTACATTCAGAGACCGAAAGATAAATTCTCGTTTGGAAACTCTCATACAAGCGGTTTGTAATTGAAATCGCGCACGACAAATAAAATCGCGTGCTATCTTTCCGTTTTTTTATTATCGATATATATCGATTTCTATATTTAATACAAATACTTCTTTGTTAAAACACATCGGAATTAATTTCGCGTCGCACGTTAGAATGTCGCGTGTTAATTTATTGTTGTTCCGCAAAAGGAAATGGGCAAATTTAAAAACGATTCGATCGCTGCATTCATGCATAGAAAATAAATCATATATATATAGAGATTTCTCCCCGTGCTTCGAGTAAATTGAAAAAAAAAAGTCATTACTCACACAGGTGAAATAACATAACAAAATCTGATTTAGATATTTACGTGCCATTAATTATCATTCAGCCCGCTCGCTTTCTCTTTCTGTTCCCTCGCTCACGGGATAATGACAGAAGTGATAATAACAGCGAGTTATATTTAACGGCGAGAAAAAACAAATCACGTACTCGCGCGAATTTATTCATCTTCATTAATATCACGAGCGAGACAATGTTTCGCGCCGTGGCCGAATTTTCGGCTCGAATTTTCTTCGCTCACCGAGGCTAATGACTTTCATCACGCCTGTTCTAAGCGCGAGTCTTGTGGTAATTCGATTTTTTTTTTTTTTTTTAATTCCGCAGATTATACAGATGAAGTTTCCCGGTTTCGCGCCGGACCTTCGCCGATCGAAGTATTCACCGGCGAAGAGTTCCTAGCGCGCAAGTAGGCCCCCCTTCTTTCCAGATCCCGGTTGGGGGACCCCTATGTGCACCTGTGCAGGTTGAGAGGTGTTGTTTTCACCTGGCAGTTCAACCTACAATCGCGAGCAAGAACGTTCTGCGCGGACGGGATCGTTCTCTTCTGTGTCTCGATTGAGAAGAAAAGTTAAACCACACAATCTGTGGTCAAAATTCACGGAATTACCCGCAAATTTGTTTCATTTTTTTTTTAACATTTTGGACTCGTCGGTAATTGCGCGAAATAATTTTTCCCAAGTGAAAGACTACTTGGTGTTGACACGATGTCGTGCTGTTGAGTATTTGATTTTTTTTTTTTTTAAACAAGAGATTGCAAATAAATTGTTTCAACAAAACTCAGAATAGAAAATATATTTTAATGAAGAATTTTCTGGAAGATATTTTTGAACTAGAGACGAAAACAGCGGATCGCAAGGAAGAATCCGGAGAAAAGATAGATCGATGAAGAAATTTTCGTACAAAAATTATTTTAATTAATAGATATTTCAAAGAAAATTGCTGTAATAAACTTTAAGTGAACAGATGATGTAAAACTTCGTTTTGCAACAAGTGGGAAATTGCTGGAGCAAATCTAATGAAGTCAATCTTCTCGAATATATATATATATATATCGTCAATTACATAATAACGTTTTCTGAAGCAAAATCAAGGTGAAAAGTGTGGCATAATAGATTGCAAGTTTAAAGAAGAGAACCACAAATATTCTCCGTGTTCGCTCGCACGAATTATTCCAAACAAGAAAACGCGACTTCGAACGCCTCGTGCGTGTAACTTCCGCAATCCATGAGCGAAGTCTAGCGAAGTCGGTTCACTTGGTTTTCGCTCTGTCCTGTGACAAGATGAAGCATTAGAACATATCCTAAATATCAAAGTCTGCGATTTGTTCTGAGACACGATGTAATTTGCTGGCGCCTGTCGGCAAATATTGATAATCCTCGCGTGCTGAACGGGCAACTTTCGAACGAATAAGTACTCGACACAGCGCGTCTCTCTCAGTGCGAAAAGGGCAAACGTTTACTCTTTTGAAGAAGAAACCGACGAAAAATTCACTGAGATGGATACCATGCTGGAGAAAATGGGAAAGCTGAATCTGGTAATGTTTGAGCACCATCGAGCTAATCGATTATTAAATGCGTCATTAGCGGTCTTCGTTATTAAAACTTTTATCACGTCACCGTATTACAACAAATTAATTTATAATAAATTAATATTGTCCACAAATAAAGTACGAAGTCTTCACTTTTTTTTGTACAGATCAATCGATTCGTTATATAACGTGTGAAAACGCTACGTGACAAAAAAACATTTTATATGTTCGATTGCTACATTAGAGTTTTATTAACTTTCTAATACGTGATTGATCGTATATGATGAGCACGTGCTTGTCATATAAATGAAACGTCTGTGACGAACGAAACATTTTTTTTTTTTTGGTAACAATTGCGAAGAAAGTATGTTAAGAATATATAATTGTATGTTTTTGTGAATTAACAGTCTATTCAAATCCGACTTTTTCAATCGGAGGAGAACTTGTTCGCTTCTCTCTCTCTCATTATTTTACTTTTCCCTTTCTCAATTATTCAAACTATTTATCTCAATTAGTTTTTTAATTCAAAAACTAATTGTGCAACAATTGATTAAACTAAAGCTAGACTTAATCTTATGTTTATACTCGTATGTAACTCCAATTGTGCGGAAAACAAGTCAATTATGAAGAAGTCTAATCTTAATTGGAAAATACGAGTGTGTGTGAGATCATTAACATGTTATTTAACCCTAGGAACTGTGTTGGCGTACGCGAGAAAGTTGTTCGGCACATTCCTCTCGCATTTTGCGTCGAACAAATAAAGTCCGAGCAATCACTGTCAGTTAATCCGAACAGCCGAATGTTATTACACACAGGCAGGTTGAAATGCCAACAATTCCGTTCGGCTTTTTGCCGCGCGTTGCCGCCGCGCACTCTCGTTTAGAGACACGCAATGTTAGCGACGCGCTGCTGTTACGTCTTGTACGTACGACGGGACTGGTTTACCTGGTGTGTATCTGTTTTTATCCGCGCTATCCGCTCGCGACCACATCAAAAGTCCATCCACACGAACGATCGGAGTCGAGTTCAAGAGTCTCCGCACTTGTTTCACATCGTTTCACGCGTTCCGGCGTCATTCTCGCGTCCCCCCCGTAACGGCGATCTGTCAAGCACCTGCCAGTCGAAGTCTGAATTATTAGCTTGTGAACGTCGATTACCATATCGTCGGTATATTGCGCGATTGCAATATCGCGCTCGCAAACATCGGTCGTGTTCGAATTAACAACAGTTTGATGACGAGCGTTGTTGTTCGAGCGCGATCGAAAAATTTGCACGCGCCTTCTTTGAGCCTATCGCTCGTTACACGAACGATACGCTGAATAATTCGCGGTTCTAATTTTAGGCTGTTCTCGAGAGTACAATGCCACGTAACGGAATCGAACGTTATCGCAGCTCGTGATCGATCCACGCGTACGATACATTTCTTTTTTTTTTTTCACGGTTAACGAGCATGCGGCTAGAAGCGATCGGTTTTTGAACGACGGATATGACGATAGATCGATCGATCGATCGATCGGTGGTCCAGTTGACGTCTCGATTTAAGAGAGAAGGGCGCGCGAGTGAATTTCACTCGAATATTTTCGGTGAGAGTACTCGTAAAGAGAAGAGTGAAAAAAGAAAGAGAAAGAAAGAGAGAGAGAGAGAGAGAGAGAGAGAGAGAAAATAAAGAGTGAAAAAGACATGAGCACAGAACTGATAGAGAGAAAGATGAGGCAGAGAGAGAGGGAGAGAGAGTGCGAAGGAGCCGGAGAAGATATAGGGTAATTCAGCTATTTTTCATTGTTCATTGTTACAAGCGTTTCACCGTGCTTGAATTTATCGACGTGCAAGTATCGTGAATATGTAATCGCGCAACGTGTGTTCTCAATACGCACGACCTGTCGCTGTGTGCAGTCGTGTGTTCTCGATGTATTTCATCTATATATGTATGCTGCTATATATATATATATATGTATACACACGTATAATGCACCTTCGTACATTTTTTTTTTTAATACAAAGTGAAGAGGACGCTCGTGCCAGTGACGATTTCGTCATCACTAGTTGAGAAAGTATCGCGGCACGAAGCGCCGTAATTATTCAAATGAAACCAGCCTAATTGCGAGGAGGCATTTGCGTTTCGCGCCGCATTATCCCGAAGATTCGCTATACCTCAACGCGGCACAGGTTGCTGCCGCTTTGTAACGCAATATAGGCGAACATTTTTCTTCTCCGCGCGATACTTCCGCGATTATTATTTAGATACCGCCAATTTGCATGTAGCGCATGTGTGTTTCGAAGTTTCAAAACGCGTATTATAGTAAAAACTTTGCTTTGTGCATAATTCATAAATTTAAAAAACATATATTTGTATATTTTAAATATATAGGTTGTTATTTTTATCGTGTGTAGAATAAAATGTTTCAAATCAGGTAAAAAATTTAAATGAACTTTGAAAAAGAACATCCGTAAAGAAACGGATGATAAAACGTTTCCGGGAAGCCTCGGTTTATCATTGTGTCGCTTTTGCCGTTTCGTTCGCTCTGCAAAAGAAAAGAAAATGATTCCCGGGTGTGGCGGGATCTAAACCTCCGCGCTCTCTTCGGCGAGAACGAATAGCGATACGCTCGAGAGAATCGGACTGCACTTAGCGGAGTGTTCTTCGGAGTCGCGAGATGGATCTTCGTTACTATGAGCTTGGTATAGTTAGCCGCGCGAGACGGATATTGCTACTGAAAACAGCGATAACAGCTGTGTTGCCACGGTCGATTGGCGCGCATTTTGACGCGATATATCACATACGCATTATCAGCGCACTCGATATAAATAATGAAGATACTCAGAGATCTTTATTTACGACGTCTGTCGCTCCGCGATGATCTGAAATCTGTCACGCAAAAATTTGATAATTAACATAATTCACAAATACTTTCCTTAAAAAAAAAAAAAAAAAAAAATTATACGTCATACGTAAGACACGTAACCGTATGTGCTTCTTGTGAAAAAAAAAAAGATGTAACGGTATAATAATCTACTAAAGGAATAATTATATAATTATATACCGCGCGCACACACAGGAGAATCTTCTCGCGAAGACGATCGAGTGGCCTGATCTTTTTGATTTAATTATCCGATTACCGTAATAACTACGGCACATTAATATGGTTGCGTGTTATAGAGATAATTATTAATCGTGATAACACAAAGTGATGAGAGAAATTTTAATGAATATTTTTCAATAAAGGAGCAAACCGTACGATGAGGAAATTTGTTAGTCATCAAAAAAATGGAAGAAAATTACTATACGCGCTGGGTCGAAATTACGGAGAAACGCGATTGACGTGCCAATAAGAAAACAAATTTTTCTATTTCGAGCGACTGACAATCAGCTGATTTCGTCGAGGACATTGGTACGTCGATATATGCATAGTCGTGCGATAACCGGTATACGATAATTGACGTTGTTCAGTATTTTCCGACGCGATAAGCGATTTCAACGTGCGAGATAAGAAAGGCAGTCTCTCGGTGAACATCGCCGCTCGGCTGTTCGAATTCTTGAGTTTCTCACCTGCGGTGAGAGCGAAGCGTCACGGGATCCAAAAAAATTACGGTTAAATACGATTACGATCGTAAAAAATCGCGCCGCGAGGCATATCTCTCGTCCCGATTGTGTGACGCGATCGTATAAAAAGTGATCTTACCGATGCCAACATGTCGTCGATCGTAAAGGATGAGGATATTATGCCTTATCCGGAGTCCGAAACTGGAAGACGTCGTTTTTTTCACGTAGGTAATCAGATTGTGCAAAGAAACGTTTGATTGTTGGCAAATTGCTTTCGCCGCGTGCGTCTGGAACTTGTTTTTTTTTTTTTATACTGGCACACAGAATCTTGCGTCGTAGAAAATTATAATACACAAACCGAATTGCTTCTATAAATACGTATTGTGTACTGCGCATTTTAAGTAGACGATGATGTTTTACCTTGAACACGTTAGTACCTCGCACTTATGACATTTTAAATTACGGCTCGTTGTTCGAGTTTGCTTAAAATAGTTTTGTTACAGTTCTGTCGTGATTGTCAATTTGTTTCTGACAGCAATAATTGTGTTGTTGTATATAATTTAAAAAAAAAAACAATTTTGAATTTTATAACCAAAGAGCAAGTTTTCTCACCTCTGAGCGAACTCTGTGATTATCTCCGAGAGTTGTCGATATTATTTATTCAATAAAAAAAAAACTATTTTAAAAATAGGAATTTTTTAATATACGTGTAAAAAATCTGAAAATGTTTATTATAACCTTAAATGTGAATATCAGACCAAAAAGTGAATGAAAACACAAGCCCACATCTTAGTGTCTTGAACCTGTCAACAACAAACGTTATCTTGGACACATAGGTAACAAGAAACGTCGTCACCCCAGTTGTTGTTACGCTGTCGTCATGTGCTTTAAAGTTTACGACGATACAATACGCGTGCTCATCTCAGAAAGAAAATATACATATTTCTCTCGCGATAATAAAGCGTGACACAGTTTTTTTTTCTGCATTTCCTGCCCACAATATAAATTGGATCTTTTTATTTCTTTAAAATCTCTTCGTCGTTTATCGTCATTATTCACGAACACATCGAGGCTTCGTAACTGTGCGTAACGGCGAAGCAGAACGTTTTCGCTCGCTCGTAACGGAAGACGAAGAAGCGACGATTGTTACGAAATTGACATGCAATGGCTCCTACTATTATGTCCGCGCGCAACTGCTTAGTCCCGTTTTCTAATGATCGCTCTAATATCTACGTGTTGTACCGCGCGTCGTCATCACGCGCGAAAAATGTTTTGCGAACACAACGAGATTCAAACATTTTGCGTTTGTTTCTAATTCGATTTCTTAGTGACGCTATATATATGTGAAATTTTAATTTTGTCATCATCAAAACTACACGGAGTCATCACTTTGTGTGATTCCAGAGGATTCCAAGCTGTCCAGTGAAGAGTTCGCAGCCACTGAAGGAGTTTGTTGGCCGCTGCCAGACTATGCCATCGCGGGTGAAGAAATCGTTTTGTGGCTGTCTCCAGGTGAGATATTTATTTCGGGATTCTTATCTTTGTACACAAACACAAACACGCATTGCGTGTTTGATATTTTTTATCTTCACTCCACGTCGTGTCTATACAAAAAAAAAAAAAAAAAAAAAAAAACCGGAGAAGTGGAAACGGGAGAATGTAACTGAAGAAAACGCGCTTATAATGAGAAGTCTGCGTTTTTCGATAAGTTTCAATACGCCGATGCGGCTTTACACAAATGTCAGTCCTTAAAATTCTTCGGTACGTTTGTCCGCGAATTCTTCCTTGAAATTCCACGGCGTTGCATTGCAGCCGCAAGCCCTCATTGTGCGCGAACTTACAAGGCAAATTGCTAGGAAGTTCTTACGCAAGTCGAGGCAAAGCTTATATATATATAGAGGAAGAAAAAACAAGAAATGAAATTAGCGGCAACTTCCATATCAGACCAGTCGAAATGAGACGGCGCGGCGCAGCGATTCGATACGAATCGACCACATTGTTTCCCGCATTTCGTGTTAAATTGTTGCGGTTAAAAAAAAAAAAAAAAAAAAATTGTACTCTTATGAGACACAACCGCACGACGCATTCTTGTCGTCGTTACGCCAACGCGAATGACAATCTGCAACACGAACGAAGAGAGATGCACGCGTTCTTGGAACGTATTCGCGTAAATAACAGTCGACAATGACTCGGTCGCTCTTATGTGTTTTGCGAAGTCATTATCGTGTTTCTAGTTATCTGAATTCAAATTAATACTCTGTTTAAATTAGTACGTTTATTTGTTCAAATATAAAATTAGAAAAATATTCGCAAAGTTTACATTTATTACAACAATTATACAGAGTTTTCTTGCTTCGATCAAGAATTTTTTTTTTACTGGAGAATTTTTGTATGAACTCTCAATAATTTTTTTCTTTTACACGCGTGTGTGTCAAACGCAAAAATCACGTGCATACTGCATAGATTTACCGAAGCGTTTCTCCGACAAGCTAGATGCGCGCGTTAATTTGAAAGTCAACTGAAAGTATGGAAAGGATGGAAGTCATTAACCGCACTCTTGATCTGTCTCTTACGTGACTTATAAATACGAGCTCATCAAACAACATCAAGTAAAGTCAAATGTGCAAACGAACTAATGTCTTTGCAAATTTGCCGTATTATAATTTCCGTGTTGTCCACGTTCATATTATTCGAGCGACAAAGATGATTGTTTCTATATACGCGCTCGCCTAAATACCGAAGGAAACTGCGTAGAAATTTTTTTCACGCCAAGTACGCGTATAAGAAAAATGCAAATGTATTTAAATGAGAATTCCATCAGAAAAACATCGCTCTTGATGATGATTATCGCCAGAAATAAACGTCATCGTCGCTTACGAAAGCGAATATTTCTCGATGAGGAGAAGTCTGTTCTCGATGCGAAACTTAACAGGCGGAAATCTACTCTATGAGAAAAATTTCTCGAACGTATTAACCCGCTCCGGGCTATTGTGCATTGAACGGTCGCGCAAGTGCGAAATATAACTTCGTGACCAACATTGGCTCATGACGTTGTTCCATTCAAGAGAAGATTTCTCCGTGTATCTCATCAATTATCTTCACTCACTCGGAACTTAGTGCACCAGAAAATCCTCTGCCAAGACTTGACATTGCCGACCTTTATAAAAGTCGCACATCGTATTCCAGTTTTCGAAATGCAACTTTCTTGTTAAGCGCGTGCTCCTTCTTCCGTCGAAAAAGAAAATAGAAACCTTCGCGATGACGACACAAGCAACACGCTTGGCAAAAACCTGGCGATGATGTTGAAATATCGCTTGCACATTTGCTATTTTTTTTTGTTTTCGCAGAGTTTTTTAGTCAAGATCAAGATAATTTTCCAAATGTGCGCAAATATATTTAAGTATGTTTCTTCAACAAAAAGAGTGAAAGCGAAATACAATTCCGTAACCACATTAATTTTTTTTTGGAAACAAAAACGTTATCGTATATCTATTTTGTGTGAATTTTTACTCTTTTTCACATTGTGAAAAATTGAAAATGTACAAACACGCAAGTTTTCAAGTCTCTCGATGTTAAAATTCTAATACCGAAAGCCGGAAACGCACACGCACACGCACGTGTAACGACCAACTCATGAAAGGACATCATGCAACATCGACGATGCGGGATCTGGCACGTCCACCTCGCGCAAACACGAACATACGAGGTCTTTGACATCGTGACCGCGATGGCCGATTGGGACAAGAAAATCGGTATACCGCTTCTTCCAGAAATGTGGCAGAATCTGTGCGAGCGGTCGTCCTTGATCGGTCCTACGACCTGCGGCTTTCATTATCCGATCGATTCGCCGTTTCTTCAACGCCGAAGTGCGTGTTCTTGTGTGTGTGTGTGTGTGTATAGTCGGACTATATTCACGTGGGCATATAATCGTATATTTTGTGTCCTTAAGAATTCTGTAGTCTTTTTCTGGTGGAGAGCAAAAGGATCGTTAGAACGCCGAGTCGGGACGAAAAGTGGAAAGAGAAAGAGGAAACAAGAATCGTAAGGATGTTGTTCGGCTCTTTTTTTTGGCATCACTTTCCGACCCGACCGGACTAGAGATTAGAGAAGATTCGGAAGTCGTATTTTATTACAATATCTCTCTTTTAAAAAGTCTGCGGGGTCTTTTACGACTTGGGGTTAGGTCCTTGGGTCCGCGAATCTTTTGGTAAAAATAACGAAATAACGCAAAAGAAGAAAAACGTATAAGTGCATTTCCGTAATAAAAATAAATATACATATAGTTGTGTGTGTGTACATTCGTGCAACTATATATAGTGTCTAGTGAAGTTGCTCTTACAGCTGCGTCCGCATAATCCGCGTTCTCATGGACCTATCGTCCATCTGTTTCGTTTGCCGGAGTGACGGCGTGATTTCCGCAGGACAACAATAAGATTCTTCCTTCTACGAAGCGGACTTGGATCTGCCGGTAATCTGGCGTTGCAAGTTACGATTTGCAACATATCTAACGGGACGCGCAGTGTGTAGTTCTAATTAATCAGTTACGCCCATTGAACAAGTATAGATTTATTTTATTACCTGACACAACCGCACCGTGTTTATCAAGAAATCCGAGCGTCGTAATATCCGCGAATACGCTACACGTTGAACGGTGGATACGCTCGTAACGCGCAACATGTGCTGTTGGATTTTGGTCTTATCTTCGCGGACTGTTTGAATACAAATTTATGGATTTTCTGCTGATTTCACGAAAGATCTAGTCGGATAAGATACTCTATACGGTGTGCAATAGTTTATAAATTTTAAACGCGTATTTTTCACATGTACTAAGATCGTAAATTTTAAGTACCGAATGCAAATCGAACATGACCGTTTTATTTCATTTCAATTTTTTGTTCTCTGCGAAAAGAATTATAGGAGTGTTCTTTTATATCGCATGACTCAAGTTTTCTCGAATGTTTCGCAAAACACAACCGGTCATAGCTTTGTGAATAATCGTTATCGTTAATCATCCAGCAGCAACCAATCGGACTCTAAGCTGATATCTCTCTCTCTCTCTCACTCTCTTTCTTTGTCGATTTAACTTTTTTTTCCGCACACTCACGTGCGAGCTAGTCGCGTGTCACATTTGACAACACGCTCGGCTGCGTATCGTGGCGGTCACGTGCGCGTCTTTCCCACACGATTTAGTCGAGGACGCGCGCAAAATTCTCAGGAACGAAAGGTCGGAGGATTCGCTCGGGCATTCCTGCGCGCGTATGTATGTATGTACGCGCGACCTCGTAGCGCGCGGCGATCGAGGATGATGTTTGCGAAGAATAAATCGACGGCCGAGTACGTGAATAGGTAATTTCCTAGTCACGTGTGAAAGTACCTTAGGAATCCGGCGCCGGTCTCCTGACCTTTGCTGCCGTTGCTGCTGCTGATTCTTGTCTCGGCCGCGAGTAGGACAGAGAGCGAGAACGAGCTCAGATCATTAATTCGAATGAGGAAAACAGATAGAGGATTGAAATCGGCACAATTGTCGTGGCGCTGTAATAACAATCGCGGAATATAATAATATTGTATTGCGATTCTTTCTTGTTTTCCTAAAGTGGTTTCTACTAGTAGCGACCGGTTGAAAAAAAAAGAAAAAAAAAAGAAACAATTCCGTGAAAAAATGAAAAGGTCGACGAGTGTTTTTATCGAAGGTGAGTTTCAGCGCAAAGAATGGTGCCAACAGCAAGTCGCTTGTATTATTGATCGCAAATGCTATCTCTGCCTCCCTAAAAGCCTACATGCGTAGGTTTATTACACGGATAGATATATATTAAGTATATCTCGATCTCTCTCCACCAGATAAGATTGCAAAAGTTTTTTCTCACCGAGTTATTGTTGTTCATATCGAAACTCTGTTTTGTATTATTTGCGGAATTATTATTTATTTTCTCATACATGTGTCTTCTATACCTACGCAGAAAATTGGAACGGGAAAAGCAAGAAAATGTATTCAATCCGCTTCATTTCGCTCGCTCGTCTGATGATCGAGATGAAAACATTTCTTGCATGATCTGTAATTTTGTGCAATATAAGAGATGCGCCGAGAAACTAACCCGATTACTTCTTTTTTTTTTTTTTTTTTTTTTTTTTTGAAGGATGACGAGCCACCGGAAATCACATATTGCATCGTGGATCACACGGGTACGCTCACGCTACAAGCCATGACGCCGACTTTGCCGATGCCGGCCGAGGAAGAACTGAACAAAATGTTTCTCGAACTCGTGGACGAGTTGGACCTGACCCAGACCAATCGACAAGCGGTTTTGGCACTTCCGGCGAACAAGAAGTGGCAGATTTATTGCTCGAGGAAAGGCAACGGCACGCTCGACAACGGGGGTTTGCGGACCACCGACCTAAGCGGCGATCCTGAAGACTACATCAACAGATTGAAGACGATAGCGAGCGTAAGCACAAACGAGAATAATATTTGATTACAAAATTATATTAAATTATTGTTTATTTTATTTTTATATTTTGTTATGTTATATATACATATATATATATATATATGTGCAGAGCCCATTTCCGGAAGGTGACGAGGTGTCGAATCAGATGCGCCAGGCCGAGGCCTTGAAGACCGCACTGAGGACGCAGCCGCACAGTTTTGTCCTTAGATTTATAGAACTAGACGGTTTAAATGCTTTGTTACAAGTACTGGGGACTATGGACGCTGAAGCAGCCAACAGCAATCTTCACACCAGCGTCATAGGATGTTTGAAAGCTTTAATGAACAATTCGGTGAGCTTTCGCGCTGCAAGAAGCGTTCAAAAAAATGTTTATTAACGATATCTTATAAGTATTGCTAATTTTTGCGTCCTTTTCTCGCAATTCTCGCGTAGATATAATTCATTTCTCACAATCTTCTAACGTCAAAGTTTATTGTTATTTTAATGACTATTCTGTTTTTTCTCAGAACGGTAGAGCGCACGTGTTGGCACATCCGACAGCGATCAACACGATATCACAGTCGCTGGCGACTGAAAACATAAAGACGAAAATCTCCGTGTTGGAGATCCTCGGTGCGGTATGTCTGGTGCCGGGTGGTCACCGCAAGGTCCTCGAGGCCATGCTACACTTCCAGCAGTATCATTCCGAAAGAACGCGCTTCCAAAGTATAATCAACGACCTCGACAAGAACTTCGGCATATACAAAGACAACTTGTCTCTGAAAACGGCAATCATGTCTTTCATCAACGCCGTGCTGAACTACGGACCCGGTCAGGTTACGCTGGAATTTAGGTTGCATCTGAGATACGAATTGCTGATGCTCGGAATTCAACCTATCATCGATAAGTTGAGAAAATACGAGAACGAGACGCTCGACAGGCATCTCGATTTCTTCGAGATGGTGCGGAACGAGGACGAGAAGGAACTCGCGAGGAAGTTTGAAAAGGAACACGTGGACACGAAGAGCGCAAGTGCTATGTTCGATCTTTTGCGACGGAAGCTGAGCCACACTGCCGCTTATCCTCATCTTCTTAGTCTGCTGGAACATTGTCTTTTGTTGCCACGTAAGTTTTCGAGTCAAAAAATTATTTTGTTATTCAGTCAAAAAAAAAATATATTACCGACGTAATGCTAATGATTTCAGTTGATTACGGTTCGCATCCCCAGCATTGGTTGCTGTTCGATCGAATAGTTCAGCAAATTGTTCTACAGTCCGAAAGCAACGAAACGGGATTGATAAGAAATCCGGATGTGGCCCCGATCGAAATAAACGTGAAAGAAATTGTGCATCTCCTCGCAAAGGAAGAGGAACTCGTAGCGGCAAGAAAGAAGGCCGAAGAGTTGGAGCGCGAAAATTCGGACATGTCCACAAGACTGGCTAAGAAAGAACAGGAGTTAGATTTAAGGACGCAAGAAAAAGTACGAAGAGAGTTGAAACAAATTGAAATCTTTTTGAAAGTGTTATAACAAATTATATATATATACGTAAGTAAATCGCTAATTTGAGATCAACAATTTTTTTGCAGGAAGATATGGAGGCAAGTCTGGCGAGAATCAAGGAACGTCTCGAGAAGGAGACGTCGATGCACATAGAGACGAAGCAAAGAATCTCCGAGTTGCAAGATAATCTTGAAGCGTTATCGCGACAAATTAACAACGAAAAGTCTGAGCGGAAGCGGCTGGAACAGTTGGTGGCTTCAGGCAGTTTGCCAGATGACGCGAAAGCCACTCTGAAAATTGTGGAAGATGAAGTACTTGAGAAAGTTGAGACTAAACCCACTCCGCCACCGCCGCCACCTCCTCCATTAGCACCACCGCCACCTCCGTGTTTAATGCCGGCTGCTCCTCCACCGATGAAGGTAAAGTTTGAAAAGCAAACAATATAATACGTATAATACAATTATAAAAAAAGAAATAGATAATTTAATCTTAATGTTAATAATTATTGTTACTTACAAATTCAATTATCTAAAATTAATTTTATCGTTCGATCTTAATGATCTTATCGCAGGTGGAGATAATAAAGAACGTTCCGCAGCCCAGCAATCCTTTGAAATCGTTCAATTGGTCAAAAATACCCGAGCAGAAATTACAGGGCACGATATGGTCCGAGTTGGATGACACGAAACTCTATAACGTAATGGACCTCGAATCAATCGACAAAATCTTTTGCGCTTATCAAAAGAACGGCGTCTCGACGGAGGGCTCGATAGAAGATCTGAGAACGTTGGGAAAGAATAAGAAAACGATGTCGGTGATCGATTCGAGGAGGGCGCAGAACTGTACGATACTACTCTCGAAGCTGAAGATGTCTGACAACGAAATTACAAGAACGATACTGTCGATGGATCAGCAGAACATCTTGCACATAGATATGGTGGAACAGTTGCTCAAGTATATACCGTCTTCGGAGGAGGCCGCCTTGCTGGATTTGCATCAGAAAGATCTGCAGAACAGGGCCGATTGTTTCCTGTATCAAATATCAAAGTACGTTGTATATATCTCGAATACATGAATTGATCAAATCTACATAAAATATAAAATTATTAAAAACAAACAAAATGTAAATTTTTCTTTTCAGAGTGCCGCATTACGAGCAGAGGCTGCGCTCTCTGCATTACAAGAAGAAATTCGCGGCCAGCATTGCGGAATTAACGCCGAGAATGCGAGCGGTTCTAGAAGCGAGCAGACAAGTGGCCAGATCGAGAAGACTGAGGAAACTTCTGGAGTTGGTTTTGGCGTTGGGAAATTACGTGAATCGCGGAAACGCGCGGGGTAACGCGTGCGGTTTCCGACTGGCCTCTTTGAATCGTCTAGTCGACACGAAGTCATCTTGCTCAAAGGGTACGACTCTGCTGCATTATCTCGTGCAGATTCTCGAAGCCAGATTCAAAGAGGTCTTGGAAATCGAAGAGGACATGCCGCATGTCAGAACGGCCGCCCGGGTCAGCATGGCCGATCTGCAGAAGGAAGTGGCCAACTTGAAAAATGGATTGCAAGATGTTCAGAGAGAAATAGGTAATTAAATATATATATATATTTTATATTATATACAATTACATATACATATATTTCAAGATATTAATTTGTTTATTCCAATTGCGTTTTATTCAGAATTTCATCGAGGTCAAGCTCAGGTACTTCAAGGTGATATGTTCTTGCCGGCGATGAGGGACTTCCAGGCGCAAGCCACGTGTAGATTAGCTGAGGCGGAAGATTTATTCCAAGACATGAAAACTAGGGTAAAAACAACAACTGAAGAAATGTTTACTGAATTATAACAAACAACGTTTTATTATAACAATTTTTTTAAATAAAATTAGTTTGATCGAGCGGTGAGGCTATTCGGCGAGGATTCCGCTGGCGTGCAACCAGACGAGTTCTTCGGCATTTTTGAGAACTTTTTACAAGCTCTGGCTGAAGCGAGACAAGACGTAGAAAATATGAGAAAGAAGGTTGAAGAAGAGGAACGCAGAGCAAAACAAGAACAGGAAGTGAGCAGCAAATTTGACACAAAATATTAATAAAATATTAAGATATCTTAAAATTCTTCTTAGGAAACAATCATCTTTGAGAGAAAAAAACATGTATGAAGTATTTAGCAAAATTAGTTTTGTACGAATTTACCAAAATCTTGTGCAATTGTTTCAGCTCCGAAAGAGAACAATAGAGAGAAAGAATTCGCGGGAGGGAATATTGAACAGCATATCACTGAGCAAGAAAAACGAAGCGAACAGTAACGGACAGAGTGATAACAAAGGCGAATTTGACGATCTTATATCCGCTCTGCGAACCGGCGATGTATTCGGCGAGGATATCGCGAAGTTCAAAAGATCAAAACGACGACCTGTCACACCAAGCGGTCAGGAATCGCGCAGACATAGCGCCCACAAAGAAGATTCCCGAGAACGTCATTGAAACTCCGCAGAATCCTGACTATCGATAACGTAAAACAGAAAAAAACAAAAAATAAACATCCTGATTTGATTAATGCATTTCCACACAATTTTGATATACAAGTTTGTTACTCTCAACAAGTTTTTACAGACATTTATATACACAAAATTTGGCACACCAATTTCTCTACACCAGGTGGAAAAAGAACCAACTCGAAGAAATTTTCTATGACCAATTGAATTGCTATTGTTACACATGCCTACAGGAATTTGATATACGATGGTATTGAATGTTATGTAATATGTTAAAAGTTTTTTATGAATATATTGCCAGGGTTCTACAGGACTGGAAAAACCAGAAAACTTTTGTATAAAAACAAAACGAAACAAAAAAACAAAAAAAAAAAAACAAAAAAAAATCAACTAAACACAATGAACGGAACAATTTTCAGATTCTTGAAATTTTTTCTGTCTGTTGTAACGAAATCAAAGCAATGCAGCACGCAACGTATATAAATAGCATATATTTATTATTCATATCAAAGTAAATGACAATTGTGATTTTTATCTTCGATTACATTTTTATTAAGTAACTTTTGCCTTGAGCAAATGTGATAAGAATTTTACGAACACATTTCGTACATGATATTTACACGCCACTCATGGAAGGATTAGTAAACCGCGAATGATGTCAATCGAAAACGCAGAATTGATTTTTTGCAGCAATCTCAGAATAATTAATTATTAATATCTGAACACACATAAAAACAAAAAGGCCTAGAAAAGCAGAAACAGTTAGTTAACTGCTTCTGAAAAAAAAAAAAACAAAAGTCTGATTTTGTAATTTTTAATGAAATAATGTAATTCGATTACGCGAGTTAGATCGTTATTGTATTGAAATGTCCTTCCCTTTGTGCGAATACAACTTAGATGAGTAGACAACTATGCATTGTGCCGGTCTGTCTGTTAAGGCTATAAGGCTTTCCGATGTGTAGAAAACAAAAATCTATACGAAGAAAAGTGATTAGAAGAGTTCGCTGTATAGTAATAGTCGATGTTTTATATAAGCTTTTGTACTTTTGTAAATATCCAGTATATTGATGTTCTCGTTCCTGAGAGAGTATAATCATTCTCTTTGTAGCAATCAGTGTCTGATTAATACATTATATATATCATCAATATATCATATATACATGTATTAAAAAAGAAAATATATGAAAAAATATATCAAGTATATGTAAGGTCTTACTGAGATTAAAAAAAAAAAAAAAAAAAAAAAATGAGTTGATAATTTTTTTCTATGTTTTTGAGAATATTGTGACGAGAGAACAGTGATGTATTATGATGTTATTTTTTGTTTTCAATGTTTTAGAGTTATAAGAAATTTACATACAAGTTTTGATTTATTAATATTTTCTCTTTAAAAAAAATGTTGAAAAAGTGATAAAGTTAGTACACAAAAAATTACACTAAAACAAAAAAAAAATACGTTTATCAATATCTGGTAAGTTATCTACAGACTTTAGTATCTCTTGAGTAATTGTGGCACAATCACAAGTTATACTTCTTCTTTCTCTCACAGATGCCTCTCGTAGTACGTATCAAAATTTAGCCCCCCCCCTTCCTCACTTTTAGAAAAATTACAGTATCGTTAGGGAAAGTAATTTTTCGAAGAGAGAAAAGTTTCTGTAAAATTAATTTTTTATATTCTATGTCACATTTTTTTTGTTATTATTCTTTAATGATGTTACAGAATAAATTAAAAAATTACGCACATAATTGCGGAGTATTTTTCTTTTGTGATTCTAAAAGGTGTGAAAAATAATTTCAATGCATGTTTTTGTTCAGAAATTTTATTTATTACGTATACTAGTCGACTACTATGCATGCGTTGGAGCTTTCGGATTACAGATTTGCTGCAGATCCGAAACCTTGTTGTTTAAGTGTCTTTACAATAACAGCTGTGTGTCATTTCCATTATAAATCCTGACTTGTTCTTTTTCTAGAGAATGAATGTGGTTTCTTCGTTTTTCCATGATCGAATCTTTTATTTAAATTATAATATCGTACGTTACGTGTGTGTATAACTTAGTGGATTTACGCCAGACGAAACGCTTTGCTCGACCATCGATCGACCACGGATCTTCGTTGAGATCTGATGCGAGAGAAAGCCGAAATCTGATTGTTGTTCGGGAGGAAAAAATTCATTCATATTACTTATCTTAAGTCTAATTATAGGCAAAACGATATCGCACTAATTAGCTTCCTAGATAGAGATTGCTGTTAAAAATTAGAGCCTTTTCTGTAGGATCAGATATACAATATATCTCTATGCTGCACGTTTAAAGCCATATGTGTGAGAATAATAAACTTTGCGTCAAGTAACAAATTTCTAACAACAAGCGGTTAAAATAAATCGTTACCATAACTGTTTACAATGTAGCACAAAAGAAACAAGTTGAAAAGATTACACTGATTTTTTATCATTATTTTTTTTTCGCTCGAAGATTTCGCAGATTCTCGCAAACATTCACCAAAAGACTTTTTTTGTTCGGCTCAGCGCGTGTCTCGCAACCACATTTTAAGTTTAGTCATCTTTCTTATTTGTATAATATATATATAGTTTTTTTTTATTTATATTTTTTATATACAGCAAGAGCGAGAGCGGCTCGAGACGACGGCGCAACGCGAGAGCGAATTCAGATTGTGGATAAACGAAAAGCGTAAAGGATATTAATAAAGTAAATAATTAGAGAACTACTTGTTTTTCATATAATTGTCGGCAGATGCATATTGCAAAGGGTCCTTATAACAATCGCTCGACGAGACGCCGGCGTCGCGGCCGCCTCGCGCAATCATATATCCATTACTAAAGTATACCTTATCGAACTAGAACTTATATCGATATATTGCACATTTGACAACAGTTACGTTTTTCTCTTTAAGTACTTGGATATAGGAAGTCTTCACTAATAAATCTTTGACTTGCATGTCTCTCCCTCTCTCTCTCTCTTTCTCTCTCTCTCTCTTTCATTCTCTCTTTCTTTTTTGATTTACACACCTACGCACACATACACGCTATCCTTCCTTCTCTCATATACACATTTAATACTCGACACAGCTTCGATGCTTGCATGTTTCTTAAAATAGTAAGTCTTACGGGCGCTTTTTTATGTATGCATAATACAAATTCTTCGGGCTTGCGTTTTTCGATGTGTTTATTATAATAACACTGGTCAAACACACAATTTTCAAGTCACTTTAATATAAATAAAAATAATTTTTATAGATTTTAATGTGCTATTTGAAATCAAATCCGAATGTTCTTCCACCCCCACGTCGATACAACGAGATTCGAATTCTACGCATTAAAATCTGTAGAAATAATCTTTCTTCATAAGAGCGACAGACAAAAAAATTTGCGAACCAGTATAATAATCTCTGTGTTACTGTGATAATATTTTGTAATTTCTGATTTCTTCTATTTTCTGTTTTTATTCTTTGCGTTGCTCAACATTCGTTGCAGATTTGGCGCTTTGAAGACAAAACTATCTTCAAGTCTTCTTATCACTCGTTCTTTTTTTTTTTTTTGTTTTTTTTTGTTTCGCTCGCACGCGCACTTGCACTCGCACTCGCACATTTACATTAGTATCAATCGCGCTATTAAAAGCGATTATATCCTAATTAGGTAGTTTCATTTCGCGTTCAACTTGCCGATCTATTCAATTTATCGACCAAACTGAATAACCGAGCTCTGTTTTTTCTTTTTTTTTTTTTCGCTAACGATCCTTTTCGAGAAAAAAAATCCTCTTCCAAGAGAAGATTTTAAATTTCACGATCGTCAATGAATAGCATCTTCTCTCGATCAGTGATCTTTTTCATTCATTGTTTACACCGCTCGATGGTAGGCTACTATTTCGTTGATGAAGATTAAGCTTAACAATTAATTTCATTGTTTATTTATTTCCGCGGTAAATCGTTTCCGGCGGCATTTCGTTCTCTTGTGTTAAAGCATCTTTCACATCATTGTACGTCAAGTCGTTGCGGAGAATTGTACGCGGATCTTTTTTTGTGTACCGACCTACAACACGCGACCGTATAATCACGGATAACGTGGGTTAGATCTCTTTCTTTCTCGCGATTTCGCCGCTTCGTTGTGTGTGTTTGTATGTACGTCTTGTATTTTCGCGTTTTTTAGTCTGCGGTCACGAGCAACGTTGTCAAGTTGTCGCGAAAATTCACGAGATCCAAAAAACAATTGCAAGGAACGTTAGTGACGGTGTTTATAATCGTGTCTGTCGAAACGATCGGAAAAAACTCTTCCCTTGTCGCGAGACATTCGTGCGATCGTCAAAATGCAAAATTAATCTCAGAAGTGTGATCCCGGAATTATCCTTACACCCCCGAAATGGAGGTATATTCTCTCGCCGAGATATATTAAAAAAATATCACTGGTTTTTTCTCTTTCTCTCTCTTTTTCTCTCTCTCTCTCTTTCTCTCTCTTTCTCTCTCTCTCTCTCTTGTTGGACTCGTTCTGCCGATTCACTTGTGACAGTCCGCTAGGCAGAACGATGTCCTTTCGCGTCAGCAACGAAAATATCGGACGCGAAACTATCAGAGGGTAAGTTCGTATAATCGTGATTAAACCGAGGCATGTAGTGTGCTAGCCTGTGGTGCCGACGGATACGATCCGCTTGGTGGTGCTGATGTTGGTTGCAGGCTCAACTGCAGCTGATGCTGCTGCGCTTTCGCCCTCAGACAAGCGATACTTTCGTTTCTTAACTGCTCCGTATCCTGATGTACGACGTCTGTAAGTAACAATATAACACGCAATGACTTAAAACATCTGTAATAGTTTTACGAACCGTCACAGTCTTGTCACTTATGTTAGAAATTATTTTGTCCTTTGTGTGTCTCAAAATTGTCAATTTATTTGTGTTCAAAGGTGTAGTTTTTTTTTTTTTATATCAAATTCTAGTTCTATCCGAGTCAGTACGTATCATTTTACGCAGAACAAGACTTACTCGAGGATGATGAAGGTCCCATGCCATCCTGACTCTCCTGTCCGCTCTCCGAACTGGTTGGTCCTCCCTGATGATGATTATGATGGGGACTGCTTCCGCTTCCGTTCTGATCGTTTCCGCTGTCCTCCCCGCCAGATTTGAGATGTTCCGCTGCCTCAAGCGACTTCCGATGCATCCCTACAGGTCCACAGTCAATCAGTTCTTGATTATATTCGAAATCTTGACTAAAGCTGCTTTTCTTAGACGACTGAGCTGATAGAGACCAACAGAAAAAATATATATCGGAATTTGTCAGGTCGCTTTAACTTAAATGTTTTTTTTTTGTTTTTTTTTTTTTTTGTTTTTTCAATACATAAAGGTACAATTTTCTTCAATTTCCAATGAGATATATATTGAATTTTATAATATAGTTTGATCTCTTTCTTTTTATTTTAACAGTGTGTTTATATTTTTTCTGAGGTATGTCGTAAAAAATAGGATAAAATTGCACCAAGTAAATATGTACAAAATATATTTTTTATCACTCAGATAAACATTTTCTGAGATATGAAATAAATAGAGAAAAACTTCTGAGAAATAATATAATAATATGTATCAAATGTAAATAAAAATAAATCTCAATGTTTTCAAATAAATTTTTAAATAAAAAGTTATCGAAATATATTTTAGTGCAATATTATCCTTTTATATGTAAAAATGAATATATATGTATATTCACACAACACACACACATACATATATAATCATTCAACTAATTCTCAGCTCAGAATTAAACAGAGACTTGAGAAAATATCCATGATATATGTTGTGTTATTCATGTGGATTATATCAAGGTTATGCAAAGCGCAAACAACTTGTCGAAAAGATGATGTTTCCGTCTTACCTAACAGCCATGGCGCAACAGATTCATTTTCCTTAGCGCTTCTTAAAATCGTTTCCGGAAGCGGTAAGGAATGTCGTACCATCGCTCCGTATAAGCCGTACTCTGCCATTATGGTACTTCTGCCCCAACACTTCTCCGTTTTGCGCCATTTTGCTCTTCGATTTTGAAACCACACCTAGAACAGAAATTTACAAGCGTTTAGAAAAAAAAAAAAAAATAAAGCAAACCTAGATTTTCATATCAAAAATGACACGCGAGCACAATTTTCTGATTATAGTTTTTTCATCGTCACAATATGGAGATAGAAAAAATCGCACTATAAGATTTTTAGTTGACAACTTAGCAATCAATATCTATATTTGTGTTCACACACACACACACACACATTTTAATAATATTAAGAAGTACTCTCATATAGATAACTTTTTTCGCTTACATTATTCCTGTAATTGGACTGTTATGATCGTGCTGCATGATCAGTTTCTTTATCCAATTAGCGCTCGTGTGACACGCGCCGCGACATGATTGTACAGTTAATTATCATGCTCAAACGACGAAAGCTACTGTCCTATTTTCATGCCCGTTAGGCTACTTGTTAGCACTCCCGATGATTCGACCTCCTACGGCGAGGACGCGTGTCGGTTTTTCGAAACATATTCGCGTTTAACAAACCAAATATATCTCAAACAGTGTAACTCACATTATTTTTATTTAACAAGAATTACTTGTTTATTTTCAATTCATATATTTTTTTTTTTGAATGCAATAGACGCACGTGTATTAAATTTCTCTTCTCTTCGATTAATTTATTAATTGAATTTTTTAACTTCCCAAAAAGCTCTTCATTTTTAATGTCTTATAATTATGACGGATGTCACAATATTCTTATATTGCAAAAAGTAATTTAAAATTAATAGAAAAAATCGAAACTTTAAAGATGAAGCGTTGTGTTTGTGAGTGCATTCTGTAAATACTCGATCGCTTCAGAATGTTATTTAAAAAGCCGGGCCTGTGCATCGGTTGGTTCTCGCAAGCGTGTTGTGCCCGGCAAAAGAGAGGGAAGGCCGGAGGCTAGGGCGTGGACCAATTTGCAGCAACAATGCCAAAGTCACTAGCAGAATTGGTGCGTAATTCGAATGAATGGGAACGCGTCGCCCTGTCAATTTGCACCGCCACCCTGAAATTATCTTGCGCTTAGATTTCAGCAGACACACGGGGTTTTTGTGATTTACATGCGTCCGCGCGAAAACATTCTGTTGCAACTACACTTCTGCTCGTGAAGGAAATTTAATTTGTTGATACAAATATATCTCTTTGCCGCGGAATCACATTGATTTTGAAGTAAAATACGTCACGTGTCGTCCCCGTACGTAAAAACTTTTCTCAGAAACAAAGTTTTGTCTTGTAAACTGAAGTTTTTATCTTATTGTTTTGCAACACAAATGAATAAGAGTAAATAACAAGAATAAATTAAGTAACATATGTATATGTGTGTGTGTGTGTGTGTATGCGCTCTTCGCTGTCGCGCGCGCAATTGAAAAGATCGTGCAGCAGGTTTTCGTCTCTTCATCGAAACATGATAACATTGGCATCGTCGCGCTGCGAGGGGGAAGAGGGTATTTAATAAGTGTCTAAGAGACACCAAATACGTCTCGTTGTTTGAACGTAAGCCGAGAAAGCTATGAGACATCGGCTAAGATGCCGGGGTAAGGAAAGAGACAGAGAAGCGAAAGAAAGAGAGAGAGAGAGAGAGAGAGAGAGAGAGAGAGAGAGAGAAGGAGAGATGGAACGAGAGAGCGAGTCCAAGAAAGAGGAACGGGATTCGATATCTCATTATCGGTCGATCGCAAATTGAAGTTACCGGTGGGAAGTAACGAGATCTCCAATTATTCTGGGGACAGTGTCATTCTATCTTATCATATATATATATATACGTTCTTCGCGAATATCTCGAAGAAAGGAAACAAGCCCGGACGCTTCTTAACTTTCGTCTGTTCCGTCTTCGTTCTATTCCGCGCAATTGCGATTAGCAAGATATTTTACCCGAGTCTTTCGAGATCCTTCGCGAAGATAATCGCGTGGTCCCGGAAACGTTCGCATAATACTATTGACTAACGAGTATCTCGCCGTTTTAGTTTCGTCGATAACTTATATAAGGCGATAAATGTGCGTAGTAGATTTGTTTCCGAGTTTTACATAAAATTGACATTTGTTAAAGTAAAATAATTTTGTATGTTAAATCGAAACAGAGTAAATTGCGAGATGTGCGACGATTAGCGGCGCCATGGCGTGCCAACAAAGCGTCTAAAATTCTCGGGATCCCAGCCAAGAGTTCACAAGACGTCTATCTTGGCGTCTTTCCACGTACTTGTCTACTCTGTCTTGCTTTCTCTTCATCGCGAAGAATCAAAAAGCTTACGGTTAGATAGACCTTCGAGGGTCCTCGTTCGGATAGTAGCAAATCTCTCGTCTGACGACGACGACTGACTTTTCAGTTTCGACATGCGGCATCTAACTCAAGTAGCAAAAAGTGGGCAGGTAAAAGTCTCCTCAATCTTTTCGTTTTCTCACTCTTCTCCTTTCCGTATGTTTCTTGACTGATCCGATTTTGTATTATGCGTATCGATGCGCGCCCTGGTTATTTAATATCGGTATTTGTCTCTAGGTCTTGTCTGTGCCGCTTCTTTTCATCCCCCGTAGCATAATCCTCCCTGTTTGCCTGTCCAACTCCAGCTAGGAATCACTCGGCATCCCTCCTCGGCGGTCCCCTCAGCATGTCCCGCCCTTCCTACTTTTCCGGCTGTCTCCGTTGTGTGCTTTCTGCCAGCCGGTACCCTCTCTTTATTCCCATTTCCATTCTCATCCTCTTGTTTTGGTCCAATAGTCAGTCGCCGGTCTGATCGATGATACGCCAACAGGCAGTACTGCGCATGGCCGACTAAATACAAACTCGCTCCTTATTATACCGGGTGTGCCAATAAAGGGAGTATAGAGGAAAGGAGGAGAAGGAAGAGGAGAATGAACAGACGGAGGAGGAGGAGGAGGACAGAGGAAAGAAGGAGAAAGGGAAGGAGGAACGCGAGAGGGAGGAGGAGAGTGTTCTCTGTCGGAGTTTCTCGCTCCTTCGAGCCAAGACGATCATAAAGGATTCTCTTCCGCCAGGATCCTCTTGCTGCTACAGCAATGCAGCCTCTCGTTGCATCCCTCCCTCCACTTGCCGTCGCCGCGCCGTAGCTCAGCAGTGTCCCGTGATATACCGGGAGATGCCAAAGGATAATCCGGATACCCGATTTTCAATCCCGATGCTGCGAAACGACATCTCCTCTCACAGTACCATCGATTCTCCTTTACGGACTTCGTCGGCGATGCTTTACAATGCGACTTTCCTCCCCTCCCGTCTTCTTCCGGAGACGTCGGCTATATTTTCAAACATTTATTTGGCTGCGCTTCTTGTAGATATCTTCTATTTATATTCAAATGTTACTTCAAACATTTATCTACGTCGCGCGATTCGAAAAAAATGTGCGACAGTCTTTAAAAATTTATTTGTAAATTTCTCTTTAAACAAAAAAAAAAAACAATTAAAAAAATTTATTATTTCTATGTACGTCAATTAAAAAAAAAAAAAAGGAAAGAACCGTATATGTGCCTACGTGGATCGGTGGATAGAATGATAATGGGCCGAAATGCAGTGAAATCTCATTACCTATGGTAACGTGATATTATGCGCAGGAAAGATGACTCCCAATGTGGCTGATGCGTGAGCGCAATATATATCGGGATATATAATGAAATACCTAAATAATTTACGGCTATATAATTTTCGCGTTATTATTAGCGCCGGCGTTATCGAACTGTGCGCGAAACGTATATAAACGGACCGTTACATGCGGTTCCGGGAAAATTACCACCGATTTCTGCTACACATTGTAACATCAAATGCAAGAAATTTCTCGCCGCCGCGCGGCGATGAAACGTTGCGCGCATCGCAAATAAGTTATAAATGCCACGCGATTCTCGTTAGTCGGAAACGATTAAAACGCGAATTAAACGTGATATAGCTGTTACAACGAGATTAATGATATATAATTGAAATATTTTTTGAACCCTTTTATGCGACGAATCACCTGCTGCCGGAAAATCATGAGAACGCTCGTACAATCCGCGCTATACGAATCACGCGGATTCCCACAATCCCGATTGGAAGAGAGAGAAGGAGAAGAGAGGAGGGTTCGTAAGCCAATTAATTTTGGCAAATAAGCGAGCAAGGAAAGAGGGTGCGAAGCGCGCGTTATCCTTCTGAAACGCATGACTTATTTGCCGCATAATACACGCGCACCAAGAGAACCCGTCTGAGTTCTCGCACTGATCCCTTTCTTGACCATCGACTGGTAAATAGTTAAGTCGGGATAGATCGTCGGGGGCCCCACGCTGCGAAACGGCACGCGTCAGAACATCATTACGTGGAACACTTGCCGAGCGAAGGGTGGCGGCGGCGGACGCGAGGGATGTGCGCCACTGTCCATAGCTCGGCGTCGATAAGCAGGAAATAATTCAGACCAACGGGCGCATTAACAAGTGAACTCGATCGCGCGCGTCCAAATAATGAACCGTAATAAATTAATGGCACGAAAATTAAGACACGCGATAGTCGAGCGTGTGCGGGTCGCTTTTGCTTTCGTTTCGATTAAAGTGTGCGGTTTTAATTAGAAAATTACTATGAGATATTAATAAAACTAATTGATCGAGACGAGAAGAGTCATATCAAGTTATTTCAATGCGGAAAAGACACTTAAACAGGAAATATGTAGAAATAATGAAAAAGCCAATTGTTTTTTTTTCTTTTCTGAACGTTTTTTGTTTAATTGACGGGAGTGCGCGCAATATATCTTCTTGTTATTAAATTTTCCGTTTAGCGTATATTGGGCGTCACCGTACTTTCGCGTTTCTCTCTTATGTCCTCGATTTTCAGCACGCAGACTCGGTTTCGATAGCGTTTCATCGGCGGCGTGGGCGTGGCAAAACTTCGGCCCATGCTTCTACCATAATTCGGTTAGGCGAGATTTATATCTGCTACCGACAGTATTCCCTTGTTCAACAAAGTCGTCGCGGCGCGTTTCTCTCCCTCCCTTTCCCACTCCCTTGATTCTCCGTCGTGTTTTCCTCCGCACGACC